CCAAGTAAAAGGGTGGCTGGGATTCATCATGGGGAGGAACAGACAAAACAGACCAAAAATAACAGTGATGCTTGAAACCCGCAATCACCGCATAGCCACATAGCCAAAAACCCACTGTACCCAGGGGCTGCATGGTATTAAGGCTTCAGGAGGCCAGAAGCTAGGCTTTCATCATACCTTCAACTACTTTGGTGAATAAGGCTGGATGACTAGGAAGCTTAGTGCTAAGCACAAACTTAACCGCTCTGTGGAACCGGGGATTTGGCAAACAAGGTACAACAGCAAATAATCACAAAAAGACAACATGAAAGGTGAACAAAAAGTCTTAGAACGTCATCTTTAAGGAACAGTAGATTAAAGGCCAACTCAGAAAGGGAATGCAAGAAACAAACTAGCACAGCTCCACAAGAGATCAGAGATCTAAGATTTAGGAAAGAAAATGACAGGCTGTGCTAAAAAAAAGATTTAGTAACACAAAAAGAATATGCAATCAGTTAGGGTCAACAGGGGTCAGGGGGGAAAACCAGCAAAACACAATTAGCACTAGGCAAAAGGTTAAGGAGAGATGAAGAGCTTTTATATGTATAATCAAAGAAAGCCACTACAGCAACTGAAAGCAAATCCCAGAGGACCCAAAGCAGTATTCTGCTCACACGCAGTAGTACTTTAATCAGTTTTCAATTGGAGACAGTGAGAACAAGAAAGCCGGCACAGTCCCTTTTATAGTAGGACACTACTTGCTGTGAAGACATGCATCACAACTGCAAGCAGTGTGAGCTTGCAATGCAATACGGCAGGAACTGAAAGGCAGTAAAGTTTAGATCTGTCTGAAGAGACCTAGAAGGCACAACACAAAAACCTCTTTCCTCTCTCTCTCTCTCCCCCTCTGTTCCTTACATTACAGCCAAACAAGGTGCTGAGGTCTGTGGTACTGAACTCAATCATATCATCACAGATTGTATCAGAAGGATTTTAGAGGAGAGAGGAAAAAAAAAAAGACAATGTGGCTAAGGTAGGGAAGTATAAGAGAACTACTAGTAGTCTAGCTTAGAAACAGCTGAGATTAGAGGATGAAACACAGTTATCTACAAGTCAGGAGGCTGTAAATTCCCCAGAAAAAAAATCATCTGGAGGGCACACAGTGTTATAACTAGCAGATAACAAAATGAGACTGCAAAACTGATTAACAAGCTTCATGCCCAACAAGATGCTTGCTTGTGGGAAGTAAAATATGAAGCAGTAGCAATCCCACTGATTAGCTCACCACTTTCAATAGACTGCACAGAGCACTGTATGCTCCCTCGCTTCCAAGAATTTGAACTGCATAATTGTTAACCTCTTTTCAGATTCTCTGGCAAAACTAGATTTGTAGGTCAAGAAAAAGACAGAACGCTCCTGAGACATCAGTAGTTATAGAAATAAGAGAGCTAAGAAATCAAACCTTTAAAACTAAAAGGAAACAAAACAAAGGGAGGCTTCTGTGCAGCTGCTGTTTAAGTACACACACACACTTGCTGCACACACAAACCCCTGGAAATCTATACAGCATTCTAGCAGCAATGCACAATAGCACCACTATAAACTGCAGCATTCTGCACAGCAGCAGTAATTTTCTTTTGGTTCTCCGCAAAGCTGCTTCTTTGGCCTGTACCAGATACACTATACCTTAGTGGATTACACTCTTCCCCTACAGAGGGGAAAAACTGTTTTTAACATAGTCTTCCCTAAGTGGTTAGGGAAGCAACTTTTCAAAACATAACAAGTTTTCTTTACAGCTGGAGACAAGAATTCTACAAGGGAATTAAGTTCCTATTGTCCTATCTGCCTTAGGTGGAAAGTGACAGTTTCCAGCACAGAAAACCTGTTCTGAAATGTGTATGACAACCTGAAACAACTGTATCAACAGATTTCTGTGGGAGAAGAAGTTAGTTACAGATGTGAAGGCAAAAGAAGAGGGCATTATCATCAAACCAAAACCACTTTATTAACCTGTCCAGGATATTGTCCAGTAGCAAACTCTATACAGTCAAAGCATCACCATATCAACAAACACATTTGCAAAATTTCTGTTGTTTCTATTGCAGCTACATCTGGAGAAGAGCACAAGTGCAGCGCATAGAAGAGAAGCATGTCTGGACCACATACTTACACACCACATAAACATAACCAAGTTCTGAAAAAGATTATCAAAAAAAAAAAAAAAAGAAAAAGAAAAAGAGCCAGATCCACAACCTGTACCAAAGCTTCTTGTATACTTTCCTATCTCCTAACCCAAAGTTTCCCACACCACACGCATCCTGCAGTGCCACCTTGTAAGTCCTTACAACACCTCAATCCTTACTTTGATCTCGCATGCTTCTCTGAAATCCAAGCTGGGAATCCTTGTTCAGGCCCATGCCCCATACTTTGGTAATGTCAGCGGTATTAGAGGACAGCAGTGTGAATCCGTAACCACAGGCAGCAGAGGATATCTTTGAAGATAAACAATAAATAATAATAATTAAACAACAGCACACAGGGCGTACAGTCACAAACTACTGCTTAGAAAATTGAGTCCTACGCCACATTATTTGTTCATTGACGTTTATCCTTATTTAGACCACATCCAAATTCAGCCTAAACTCATAACTAAGTAGCATCTTTATAAAAACGATCATAAACATTCTTTAGTGATAAGCACAACAGCCTAAACACAAGTTTGACATTACTGCCTTGGGTTGTTTTTTTTTGTAAGTGTACATCTTCAATCTACTCTGGATTATTTTGTATTTTGGACCCATTCAGACACAACAGTAAGACCTATTTACTGATCCACTGAAGCAGCAGATTAAAAAAAAAAAAAAAAGGGATAAAAGGGAAGAACTTTCCCATCTTACTATCGGTCCGCTTAATAAAGTCCAGGATAACTTCTTCGAGTTGAACAGCAGAGCATGATGTTTGAAACAAGCAGAAGAGAAAAACTAACAACATCGCTTTCAGCATGCACTTCTAATTCCTTTGGGGTGAAAGCAGTTAGGAAAGCAACTGAATATATAGAGATCTGTTTCTCTGATAGTTAATCTCCCCACTGATGACCGACAAGAGACTGCACATATGTTCCAAGCTGCCTGCTACCAAAATACACAGTTATACCAAAAGACCTCCTGATGAACGCAACCATATCAAGGAAAAAAAATCACGGTAATATCATTAAATTCGATGACTTAGTGCTTTTCAGAGGTGAAAGGAGGAGAAACCCATCCAGACGAACTGATTCGGACAGCCAAGTCGCCCTCGTGCTTTAGAAACGCCATATGTTCCAAGCTGCCTGCTACCAAAATACACAGTTATACCAAAAGACCTCCTGATGAACGCAACCATATCAAGGAAAAAAAATCACGGTAATATCATTAAATTCGATGACTTAGTGCTTTTCAGAGGTGAAAGGAGGAGAAACCCATCCAGACGAACTGATTCGGACAGCCAAGTCGCCCTCGTGCTTTAGAAACGCCCCTGGCCGTACCCTGTCGCGCCAACAGAGGCCCTCGGCCCCTTCCAACACACGGGGGAGGCGCCCCGCCCTCCGA